TCTATTATACAGAATCTATATAATAGATACACAAGTATTATGTTTGTTCGATATATTTATAATTTATTCACCAATATTATGCAATTCTATTTTCAAAATCTATCATTCAATATTTACGATTATGTCTGAAACTTAATCTTGCAGAAAAAGACCTAATTTATCTGTTTATACCTTCCAGTTATTGATTTCAATTTGATATTTAATCATGGATAAATGATAATATTAATCAAATAAAAATAAATTCAATATTAAAACCAGTTGCTGAAGAGCATAAAATGATTCGTTACTCAATACAACTTCAACTTCTGTTTTTTTTTTTTTTTAATTAATTATTATTACTTTTGTGATTTATTACTTGGTAATAACCTTCACTTATTAATCTTATATAAATGTATATCAACAATCCGGAGTACAAAATCGCGTGTAAACTTTACGATCGTTCGTGCGCACTCAATACCTATCCTACGTGAGTGCTTATGTCCGTCGGATAAGTTAATAAACACTTCTGCTGTCAGTTTTCAGTCAAATTAAATTTTTATATCTTCTGCAAGTATTAGTTATAGAATCGAAGCATATTAAATTACACACTGTCCTCAATTATTTCATTTACTTGAGTTATAAATTAAAAATATTTTTTCAAATAAAATTGAATGAAATTCTTGGCAAGTTTATACAGCAACGTAATACAAAGTTAAAATAAAGTTAATACTTGAATAGTATTGTGGTATGATAATGGCTGATTAATTTTAATAACAGATATTAGCACGAAAGAAATACTTCCCACGCTGATCAGTACAGTAGCACGTGTCAACAACGTACCTTATATCACGAATTGCATATATGATAAGGCTTATACTATTAAACTAGGTTGAAGTGAAGATTGTAACTGTTGACGTATTCTAGAGTATAAACTACATGGAAAGGTTGAAAAATTTTTGCTAAGAGATCCTAGCCATAGGCTAGACAGAATAGCTTGGATCAAACCCACAATCATGCTGTAATAATCCCTGATCACGGAAGATATTGCACATTTCCCAGGCGAATCACTATTATTCACTATGAAGATTCACTGTGGTTAGAAGGTCTTACTGTTTGTCGACATGCAATCTGAATGGTTAATTTTTCTTTCTTGGTCTATTTTATATTTATTTACTTCTATATAAATAGAAAATAATTACCAGTTACAAAGGAAATGATGGATGCGTTCGGAATTATTATATTGTCATTAAAAGGAAAATATTACGAGGGTAAATTTTTTTGTTAAATTGATATTTCATGAGAATTTTTTGTATAATAAAGACATTGGTGGTGTTCCTTACAGTCTTGGAGTCTACTTAGTTTTTAATTTGACTCGAATTTCTTGATAAATTCAAAATTGAAGGTTGTCTAATGAAATTTTGCTGTTATTCGAATAAAATATTATTTTAAAAATAATAAAAAAGAAATAAATATAATATGGCGAAGTAAATTTGTTACGTGATTTAAAAAAATATTGGAATGATTTATATATATATATATTGTAGATTCTTAATACTATTAAATTTCTTTACAATAAATAATATAAAATCATACCTTTATGACCAAGCAATGATGTCTTTTTTACTTCTATCGGTTTTATGAATGTTTATTTATAAATATTTAATAAACTAAATTAAAAAATTTTTTTTAATAAATAGATAAAATATAAGTATTAAATGTAATGTTACTTTTCATGAGATTACTTCAATTTTTAATGTTAACAATTATATTCATCATAAGAATTTTTAAAAATATAAATAATTCATGAAACTAATTATTCTTGTAGTAGTTAGTTAGAATAATAAAAAAATATTGATGTAATAAAATTTAACAACCGATTTTACTGAATACGAATGAAAACTTAAGAAAAGCCATCTCTGCTTGGATTTACCTACTTCGGATAGAATTACTAAGAATTATTAACGTTACTCGTTCTAACAATATACAAATTTCCACATCCTCGCTGTGAAGTATGGAAAAAATAATTGAAAAAGTAATCGATTATATATTATAAATGCCATATATGTCTATAGCATGTAAATAAATTACTGTATATAAGAGATTTATCACGGCAAAACAAGAAAGATTAAAATGAGAAGACTCGGTTGTATTCGAGAAGAAAGATGAACATTGAGGATAGACAAGTCGACAGGTTGAACAGAAATAACGTTATAGGCCGGGTTTACTACTAAGAGCTTTTTATATACGTCTGTCGAATAATTCTTTATTCCTTGTTGCTCACAAAAGTCTATAGTGATCCCAAAGTTGGACTGTCGCTCTCGGTAGAGATGGTAATGGGGTTTAAGAAAAAGAGAAGCGCAAGCGTATTCTCACCAACTATTATTCTTGTCCATTAACAATTAGAATAATTTCATGGATGTTTTGTGACTGCGTTGATATATTCCAAGTGATTCATCTTTAAATTATTACAATTCTTATTAATTTTCAGAATTACAAGAATCTAAAAAATGTTTAGCACCAACAAAAAATCAAGGGATAATTAAATTATCTAAACGAGATTTAATGGATAAAAAAAAAATTAGATATTTGGTCAGCTTAACAAGCTCTTTATTATAGATAACAACGATCCAAATCCAAATACACACATATGTATACGGGAGGACAACACAAGCAATGGTGGTCGGTGGATGAGGATCGCACAAATGAATTGAAGGGGAAAAGTAAATGCGAGTTTCAGAAAGACTTTGAACGGGACGAAAGACTGTCGTATCACAAAAAACATGGTCATCGGAGACGTGCTGGCCCACCGGCTACTTGAACGATGTCAGGAGTTTAATCAATGCATTTAGCCGAATTCCTGTCTGGCCCAAATAAAAGATTCGGATACAAAAACGTACGCAGTCTCTCCATACATTTGAGAGACCAGGTTTTCAGGTATTCTGCAGGCGACGACAATTTTAGGACTAAACTTTTATGCTCTTTTCTCTTACTTTGTAAATCTTTACTTTAAAATGGTATTTTTGATGTAAGAAAGAATTTTCGGTACTGTTTATTAATTTTTTGTTCGTTATTATTGAAAATAAAACTAACACAGTAGACTTATTTAATTATAATATTCATTATTTTTAATTAAACATTATCATCTTGTTATAAAAATAATAACATTAATATTTATTTAATAATGAATTATTTAGGCTTAAAATAATTTTTCTATAAAGCATTATTGTTATTAATAATAAAAAAATTGTAAAATAAAATTATTCTTTATAAAAGAAATTTTTTAAAAATTAAATGAAGTATTTTGTTTCATTTTTATTGTGTTTTTGATGGCATTGTTTAAAATTAAAATATGAGTAGTCCATTGTGTGACGAAAATTATTTTGATGGTACTTGATTACTCGGAGGTGAGAATAATTTTATGATAAAGATTTTAAGTTTGTTTGAATGACTCATTTTTCTTTGAGAATCAACGAGTCTACCGTGCTTCCTATTCTCAGGTTCTCTATCTAGTCAGACATCTCCAGCAGCAATAGCACAGTAGTGATTACTGCGAAAACCTCAACAAATGAATCTCTTGGGCACTCTTGCAGTCACTGTCTGTGTATAACTCCATCGTTTCCATTTTTTTGTTGCTCTATGTGAGTATTATTAATATTTTAATTTAATTCACTCTTATCTTTGCGAAGCACCTTCGTTTCCATTATTCCCAAAAAAAGTTGACTACGTGGTAACAATATTTAATAACTCAAAAACATCATTAATAATACCAAACAAAACGATATAAAACAAATAAATCGGTGTTTTTTTTTTAGAGTCAATATCCTTAGAGGATAATTTTTTTCCTCTTCTGTTGACAGGTGCACTAAGATTGTTATTATTATTCCTAGAATTGGAAGCAAAGACCATTTTTTCTTCAATCACAGTAGAATTTAATTCTATTTATATTAACACATTAAAAATAATTGGATGTTCTCACCATACAGTATAGTTTTAAAACGTTAAATAATTTTTAACAAACATCAAAAATCGTGATTTTCGTGATTCATCATGATCGTTGAGCGATTATCGAGTGAAAGGGCAATATCGCGAGTCACGTGAAAAATTCGTGATGCCCTGGAGACTGAACCTCATGCCTCGTTACGCCTGTCGGAAGTATAAATCAAGCAGTAAAACCCGCTCAGTCAGGACTCAAGCTCATGAGAGAAAGAAGATAAAGCAAGCGAAAAAGACATAAGAACGTCGACGACTTCGTAAAATGTAAAAAAAGTATTTTACTCACTGAAAACACTGAGCAATAATATCTTTTATATATATATACATATAATACTTGTTTCTGTTTATACGATTAGTAGTTTATGATGTAGACATTTAACACTATTAAATTATTTTTTTCATTGATTACTCAGTAAAACCAGTTTTGTTTGATGAAGAAAAAAACGAGTTCACTTCATTGAACCAGTTCAATAAAGGAAAAAAAAAAACATTTTAGTTATCATTCTTAACAGCAGGATATATACACCTTGACACCAATTTTAATAGATAGTAAAGGATTTTATAATAACAAGCAAAAGGAAGGATTTAAATAAAACTCGACAGAGAGAAATACTTTAATTAATTTTTATCATAGACTTGAGAAGTTAAAAGGACCAGACTGTCTGACCTAGAAAATGTCTTTTCAACCATTAAGGATTCCTAAATGATTTTAAATCCTTAATTTATAACAAACATCATTATTTCAATAATTACAAATTAAATAATAAAAAATTTTTCAACATAAAAATAAAATGTAAAGAGGAAAAGTAAAGCTTTATAATTATTAGCATCATAATTCAGCTATATTTAACGTGATGAGAAATTTTTCGTTAACGTACGTTGACATTTATATGACTAATTGTTAGATTTGCAAGGAAAAACTATAAATAATTAATATAAAATAATAATAATTATCGTCACAACGAATGATAAATATTAATGAATATCTTATTGCATGAAGAGAATTTATATTATTTTTTAAACTTGCAGCAGTGGCTTAGTGGTCAACGCACGGTTCTGTGGTCGCCCAAGTCAAGCGGTTGGATAAGTAACCACTTAACCGGACTCATGGCTCTTTAGTTCTACGGCCAATTCCTTCAGCAAAGAAAAAAAAAGGTATGGTAAAAAATTGGCAATAGTGCCATGTGTATGGTAGCAGAAAGTGGGCGATCATTGCTTAAGGCACGCACATGGGGAGGGTCGATGTGTTTATTTTATTGGTGTGACGATTGGTCGATTGCAATGCTGAGATCAGTTTTGCCGGTTTCCTACCCGTCTTGTTAGATAAATGTAGGTGTTAATAGAGAGGGATTCGAACTTATTTCTTAAATCGTGCAATAGATTTTTTTAATGGAAGACGTGGTAATAATTTAGTGCTTTACTAAGGATATGATGATATTTTATAACCATTTTATTGGAGTAGAGACACAATAATATTATTTTAACAAGGAATGATTCTTAATTTGATTTATATCATTTTTTTTTGCATCAAATATTGGCAATTTAGAGAGTTGAAATGTTTATTGTGCAATCTAACTTTAAAATATAAATTGAAAAAATATTGTGGATGAAAAATATAAATAATATTAATAACAATCTTGATCTGAGTTATTATTAATTTATATAATAATAATATTATTTATTTGTTATTGATTAACAATGTTTACTATTATTTATCATGAATATCAATTTATTAGTCTACTCTCTAAAAAGTAATCAGTGACTATTCAGTTTCCACACTCTACAAAATTTATAATTAAGTCCAATAGTTGGATTTAAAATTCTGCATTAATTTCTCATTGGACAGAAAATAGTTGAGTCTTTGTCGAGCTTATAATAGTAAATGCAACTATATATAACCTTCACTGCAGTGATAATAATTACGCTAATTCAGATAGATTACACACTTCTTGATAGTAATTTGCACTGATTTATTTTAAAAGAGTATTTTATATTTAATATCAAGCATGTGCTTTTGAATCATTACAATTGTTTAGAATAAATGAAATACTCTTTTAAAAATAATTGAGTAAAAATCATTAAAGTCGTTATTTATTAGTTTTAAAGTGATTTTCTCTATGTTATAATTGTATTGTTAAAAGGTTAATTTAAATAAATTTTTCAATAAGCAAAAATAAAATCATCATATCAAATAAAATAATTGAAAATTAAAAATTAAATATTAATTTTTTAAATTAATAAATTATTAAATAATGCTTGATCTTTGATACAATTATACAATGATTTACATTGTTTTATTTATTTTATGATTTGACTTTTACTTCAAAGTATTTTTAAAATTTTATTTTCGATAAAATTTGATAAATAAATCACTTACAAATTCTTTTCAAATAAATATAAACCAAAAAGAGTATAAAATTGATGAATTTACTTGCTCCTTTTGTTCATAATCCAACAACGTCAAGCTGTGGAAGAAAACTTAGAAAAGTTGCGTCGCGTCAGTGGTAAACCTAGAATTGTAAGATATAATCCGAGATGATCGTCTAATAGCTTTACGAAGGAATCAACTAGAGCGCTTGCTCAACATTAGCATAAGCCTCATTAAAGTCACTAACTAACGAGCGGAAACAACGAGACCTTAAAAGTGTTTATGATGATTCACAAAAATTTTCAGCTATATAAATGTACTTATTACTCTTAATCTCCAACTCTTTCGACAAAAGAATTATTAATAACAATAATATCAAATTCAATTGTTTCGATGGATTTTTTTTACGCTATTAATGAAGAGTAAAAACTGAATACTGTAGGTGGGCACACGCTAATCTTCATTTTCGTGTCGCGCCCATACACCCATTGTTTGCAACATCGTCAGAATCGCTCTGAATACATTAAACATGACGCCCCAATGACTGAATCATTTCGTTCACTAAGTCCCGTACTCTATGCTACAAGCGGCAGTATATGCGCGGCATATGTAATTATACGTCGGCGACCCCAAAGTATTCGTGTAAATAGTCTTGTACTTACCTCCTACTCGAGTGCTTTTTCACTTACACCATACCGGGAAACAGTAGGTGTTGGATCCACGTGTTTCATTGCTAATTTACAACTATGCTGAATTACAAATGCTTAATAAATGCATTACAACTTTATGTGATTCATCATCAGTTCATCACCTTAAACAATTGAATCATTATTATATAAATCACATCAATGTTCATCGCTGTAAATTCTTCAAAATCATCCTACGTAAAATGTAAACAACTTTTTTATTATTTTATCAAGACACTTTGTTAGAATAGAAAGATAAAAAAAATTATTCGAGCACGAGTGGATCGTTTAATTAAATCAATTACTGAGTTTGAAAAGTTTAAAAACCTTAGCATTAATATTGATTTTGGTTTTGAGGATGCAGTTTTTTTTTTGTTAAATGTTTAATTAGTTTTTTTCGCTTTAATTTATACCACGGAAAATAATTTATTAAGTGCCAGGCTGCGTGAGAGCTGTCTACACAACAGTCAAAACATTCGAGTTCTTTTGGACCCTTGCTGTAGTATCGTGGGAATCAGTGACGTGACAAGCTCTGTAACTCGTTTACTTGTTATTCTTCTATATATAGACAAAAATGATTAACTAGAAATCAAATGTAAAATTAATTAATCAAAATTACAATTTTTCATCTCATTGTGTTGATGAATTTTATTAATTCATCTTCACACTATTTTAACCTTAAAAAATTTTATTTAAATACAAGTATGGTCTGTTAGTTTATCCATAACACTTTGCCATCATTTTTAGTTCAATCCGAGAATAATAATTAAAATAAAAGTCCATAAAATAATTTAAATAATATATTGAAAAAAAATTGACAACCTTTACTCCAAAAATTGTTATTATTTTACATATTCTCTTCTCATAATCATTAATTGTCTTTAATTCTTAATTATTCATGTGATTCTTTATAATTGAAATTAAATTTCAACTGAAAATTGATTATTTTCTAAAAAGAAAAAACTTTTTGTCTCCACTACCTGTCTTAAAGATCCAAAAACTACCTATGAAGATAAAACTAATAATCTTCCAGAGGAAAAAAATTATTTTCAACTAAAAATTGGAATATCAAGACATGAGGTATGAAATGGAAATGATTTAGGGTGGAATATGATATTTTATTATTTGATTTAAACAATAAGTCGAACCTTCATTATCTAATACCTAAATAAGTTAAAAACTTAAGATATTCTTCTACTGAATAATTGCTTAAAAATATTCACAGCACGTTCAACTTCTGGTCACGACTAAAACAATGACAATCACGTAGGGAGCTATTCTTGTCTTCGTCCAGACGAATGAATCGAAACCAAAGTCATCTCACCTTCGGAACAAATTTATTGCGCGCGACTCTCGAATACCGAAACTCATATCAAAAATTTTTTAACAGAATAACCCGCTAAACATTTCTTTTTTTAGTTCAATTAATTATCGTTCCGCTAAAATTGATCATAATCGTTAAATTTAATTTTTATAGTCTTGAGTGTTAAGTTTTTCACACATTGAAGTCAATAATAAAATTTTTTTATACATTAAGTTTAAAATAAGAATTTAATAATATCAATTACTAAACTATCAATTAAATTAATACTTCCACATAATTATTATTATAAAAAAATAGCATATTTTAATTTTTTTTCCTATAAATAATTTCAGGGGGGAATAAAAATTAATATTTTTAATATTTGTGGTATTTTAAATAATGTTTATAATACAATTATGGATATTTAAAAAATAAATTTCTATTTCATAATAAAAGAATAAAGATAAAAAAATCTTTCATTCATTTTTTTCATTGACCATTCATTCAAATTTTCGTTTTGTCTACTCGAAATAATCAAAACATATATACTTATAATTCAATTTATGACACTGTTAAACGCTATAATCAGTATAACTTAAAACATCATCTGGTACGTCCTTTCGCTCGCATTATAATTCAGGACTTCTTCTCAGCAGGACAATGCATAGTTTCGCGTGTCGCTTTGTTTTTTACGCGGCATAGAGAAGTCGTGGGCGAATGTCAGAAGAGTCGAGTAAAGTCAAGAGAGAGAAAGAGAAAGAAAAAAGTCCGCGTGTGTCACTGAGCGAACGAGTCGAGTAGAGAGAGCTTGGACGTTCTGTCGCGTCACGTTCGTCTTCAAGTTTGTGCGTTTTTACGTTCTTACCGGCGCACGTATTCTCTCCGTGAGGGCCTCGCCCTCTTCTTTGTGTCTCTTTTCTTCATGTTTCCTACTGTACCCCTTTAGTATCAACGTCCCTTAAAATCAGCATTAAAAACAAATTTATACTATTCTTAAATAAAATATATACTCTTTTTTTCGCTGAATGTTTATGGATTTTATAAATAATTACTTTAACGGTTAATTAACGTATCCTGCATGAGTGATTCGAGAGAAAAGCCATGGCAGCGACCGTAATCATGCCATTTTTGAAACTTGGTATACTTTTGAGTCGCATTTTATTCAAAAAAATTTAGTCGTTTAAAAATTTTTTATGATTGAAAAAAAAAAATTATTTGTCCATTATTTTTAAACATTCTTATTAAATTTAAAAGTTTTATTTTCTTTTAATTTTTCAGTCAACTATATTAAAATTTAAAACACTAAATGCATTTGACATTTTTTACAATAATTAAAATTCAATGTAAAATTATTTCTAAAGAATTAAAATTTCATTGTTAAAAATGTTTTCAATTGTCTTGAAGTCACACTATTTTATAGCTGTAAATTGAGAAAAATTATTGACAAAATAATAATGTTAGTTATATTTTTCTGAGCACAAATTCTTTATTATTTTCTCTCAAGCACTTGAATGAACTAATAAAAATATAAATCACCTGGCTAATATTTTTAATCTATAAAAAAATGTGCTTTGGATCCACTCGAGTGTAAGCTTAAATCACATTATTAAATATAATGCTCGTTATTTACAGTAACATCTAATATGGAGGTACTGAAGTTTCATCGAGGCAGCAGTCATCTTTACATAAAATGCACGAATATCGCTGAGCGTTACGACGTTATTATACGAATCTGAAACTATACTAGGGGATTTTGGTGAAAAATAAAAGCTGGATGGTTCGCGAGACCAACAGATGTCCAAGATGATGGTGCTGTCTAAGTATAAAATCGTGCGACACTTGAGAAGACAAGACAAAGACCGTCTACGACTCTGTGTTATCTTCATTACAAATGTAAGTTTATGAGAAACAGAACAGATTGTTTCAGTTATTTGTCTTATTAATAATATGCTGACAAAACCCGTCGGTTAGAATGAGTAAATCATACCAAACTAACAATTGTAACATCTGATGATTTATATAGATGATAATCTGTAACTACTATGTACTTAAAAATACCAAAGTTGTTTTACTTCATAAAAAAACCTCTCATGTATTATCTCTTATTATCTATAAAATTACTTATATTATTATCAAATTCATTATTGTTTATGGTTTGATCCAGTTTATTTCAGTCTACATCTGCTCCAAAACACAAAAATAAATCGAAAAAATTTTTATTATGAACAATTTTTAATAAAAACTTTTGAATTTATACAAAAAATATTGAAATTATTACTTAAAAATAAATATTAAATGGTTAATTAAAGATTTATTTTGTTTAAATTATATTATAATAATCCTTTACAACAAAATAAAATAATGAATGAAAAATAAAAAATGAGTTCATCATCAAACAATTAATTTTTAATTTTAATTATGAATAAAATGAATATTAAATGTACATTGTTTCATTCCAAAATGAAGCTTTAGAATAAAAAATTTTCCTTATCACAATACGGTAGCGTGATATAACGGAAAGCTTGGAAAAGTTTATAATAATAACAATTAAATAACTGACATTTCCGTTTACATAACAGAATTTATTATTACAATTAAAAGTCTCATCAGCCAATGATGATACTCTAGCTCTGATGTTTCATCAGTCCCAATTAACGCAATTACCTGTTCTCTAGCTTAATTATCTATCAAATAAAATTATTATTTTTATTCTACGCCCGTGTACTTTTATGTCTTTAATGAACATTATTAATTATCTTATGATTTTCTGATAAAACAAACACACGCTCTTCAAGGCAATTTATAACATGTACACTACATAGTATACAATACTTATTATCTCACATCGCACACTTTTCTATCAATCATCGCCCTTACTTTAAATGCAATTTTAAAAATATTATCAAGATAACAACAATATTTTAACTAAGATATGATGTTGTTAATAACCTTTTCAGTGAGTTCTCAGAGTTGATTTAATTCTAAATTAAAATCATCATTATTTGAAGCTAAAAAAGACATTTTTATTAAATAAAGAAATTAAATAAAATTAATATATATATATATAATATTTGAAATAAATCGTAATAATTATTGGGCTCATTGTTTCAGTGAAAAAAAGCGTTACAAAGTGTCATAGATAAATATATGTTGAAAATGTTTTAGAGGTGTATAATTAAACCATAGAATATTGATATATTACCGGAAATGGTTTGTCTGTTTGATAGAAAAGATCGTTTGATATTTTAAAATGTCACGGTATCTCAAGATTAGTAAGCATAACAGAGCAGGTGAGATTTGGGCACACACTCTATTGCCATCAACAATCTTAATAATAACCGTTCTCGTCTTCGTTTTACGATGGTCACTTAGTGTTCGTCACGGCATCTTTTACGGTAAAGTCCTGACTTGAATATTTTTTCTTACCCTTGACTCTTTTATCTACCTGGGTAATTTGATAGATCGTTGATAGACGAGCCAAGATAATATCTCGGCAACTGTATACGTGTGTCCTTCCTCAACAGACAGGTGTATTCAAAAACCAAGCACCGTCTGCTTAGATGCAGCTGACCACTCTTTCACTTGCCAACGAAACAAACAAATTATTTACTTTGTTTTTCCGTCGTGTGCCCATTATTCAATATTTTATGGTCTTTTTTAAAATTACTCGAGAAAAATGGAAATAGAGAACTGTCATTAATTTTGACTTACATTTTAATGAATTTTAAATAGTCTTTTGCTAAAAATTATTTTTTTTTTTCAACTATTATTTATTTTTATGACATAAAAAATGATAATTTATTTTTCAAACAAATAATTAAATATAATAATAGTGAAAAAATAAATTTTCATCACTTTTTATTTTTTAATTATGATGATTATAAATATGTAGTTAGTTTACTTGAAATAATTGACCAATAATTAAACTATTAACTTTACAAACAGTGAATTACAAATGAAAAGATCACACTAACAGTAAGAAATCTCATAAAAATTTTACAGCAAACTTCTACGCATTTCATTAACTCCAGAAAAATTAATTTATTAAAATATTGCACTCAACAATTGATTCTCATTGACTTTCAATTATAATAATTTTAATAAATAATTCGAGTATGAATAAATAAACTGTTGAATTATTTAAAAAGTTATTTCTCATTAATATTGCACATTATTTTTCACTATAATTATTTTTTCTTTTTTTTTTCCTAAGCTCTTGAGCTTTCTTGCAAAATTTGTATTAATTTTTCTAAAAATAAACTTCTTCAACAACAATCATTAAAACAATATAAACAAGTTACGTCCATCAGACTGTTTTTAATCAAGATAATAAATAATATCCGGTGCGTTGAGTCGTCATCAACAATCTGTTTATTCTTTTATTAAGTAATTAAACAACACGTGATTATTTTTTGTTCATTTTTTTTTTTACTTAGTGCATGAAAATGTTGATTATTCAAGTTTAACTGTACCAAGATAAACGTATGGCGTTAATAAAAAATGAAATGACTTTAATCATAAGTATAGAGTAATTTTATTGCGCATTAATTTAGTATATATAATTGTTGTAACAGACCGCAACATGGGTATTCATGAAAAACAGTCCAAGCTTATAAACGCCTTGCTATTAGGCGATACAATTAAAATGTGCATTTCTTCAGCTTATTTTAAACTCATAGTACAACTGTATGGTTTGGCTTCTGATGTTTGTTTACTATATATGTATACAAGTAAAACTGTAGAACGGCGGACGTAGAGAACAAGTGTGAAATATTTCCATTAAAATTCCTACACGTTCCCTATTTTTTGCGCTTTTACCCTCATTGTGTATGGTATTTAACCACCCAAAAGTAGCATCAATTACATAAAACATAAATTGCTATTTTACCACAAAATTATCAATTCTAATTTAATTATACTAATAAATTGCATTTTCTTTGTGAACATAAAGCATTAACAATTAAACCATTTTTTTAATTCTCTTGTGGTGATTTTATTTATCTGGATTTTGATTAAAAAAAAATCTTGATTAATTTAGGGAAAATCACTTTTAATTTTTTTGTATTCGCAGATTTATTTTAATGGTCATAATTTCATTGAGGCATCGTATTCATGTATCGTATTCTACTATCTGACTCGTTCGTATGAGGTTGGCACACGTTTATTGTATATATGAACCGTTTCACTCCCTTAGGGTGGATCAAATGTATACGCGTATGATTCTCTACCACAGTCCACTACACGGTACCACATTCAGTATCATGAAAACAATGAATATGTATATCTTAATTCGCACAGGTTAATTGAATAATTTGTTAAACGCACACTGTGACTCGTAGAGTTACTAAAAGTCTTTTAAGCATTGCCATGGTCTTTTTGCATTCTATAATTAAGTCTTTCAGTTTGTTTAAAACCCACTAATCTTAATTTCCTTTTTCTCTTTTCTAAATTCAACCAAACTGATATCTTTAGTAAAGTAAATTATATCACACAATTATTCAACAAATCAATATTTATATTTAAATAATATTCAATGATTTTATAACCAATTTGCTGATAAACCTAGAGGTTTTAAAAGTGTATAAACGAATAATTACCCAAGAAACAAATTCAAAAATTTTTTAAACACTTAAAATAATTAATAAACCAAATTAAATTGAATTGAAATAAGCTCGTGGATTTTTGGAGTTATTCATTGGAATCTGGGTGACATCCATCAGCTGATGTTCTTGAAGGTAGTAAGAAGGTGTCCATTTGTAGCTCAGCACTGAAGATGTTGGTTCATCATCCTACATAAATATACATTATATTAATAATGAATGATTAAAATTAATTGCCTATTATTTTTATTATTCCTTCTAAGAAAAAGACATTCAGAATATTTTAAGAAAATTTGAAATAGTACTCCCATGAAAGATATAGACTCATTTATCAACATTCACTAAATAAATTCATCAAATAGTAAGCAACTTGGAGGCATTTGAATGAACTAGTTATTCCAAGTAACTCAATCAGTGAACATAAGACGATTCACTTATTCTCCAGTTGATTTACGAACTGCTAGATCAATTCATAAAATTTTCACTTCTCTACTTTTGTAGAGCGAAAAATATAAATAACCCAGAAAGATAAAAGTTATTGTGTTGTTGCGAAAAAAGATAGTTTCGAGGCACAAAGCAAACTGTTTTTTTCCATACATAAGACCAAAAGGTATCAGTTACTATCCAACTTTATCCCTTTTCCGAAGAAACATACATTGCTTTGTGTGTGTTCATGTATATATATATATATATATACATGTGTATATATGTATATATATATATGAATTCGAGACTATAGAAGGGAAACGAGTGATCCTTTGATCGCGCGACAGTCGCTGTTGGCAAACATCAACTCAGTTGACTGAAACCCAGCCACCGTAGTTTAATACCTCATGCAAATTTCAGGAAAAGGGCGCGCGCCCTGTCTCTCTTTACAACCGCAACCGCCCATGGGACTATATTGCTTTTAGAACAAATCGCTATTCGATTCGTCTATATCGGTACAAAAGTTATCAAGCGCAGTGTTCAGGTATAACTCCAGTCTATCATCGCCATTCAACATTTGACCTTTTTTGTGTCCTGTTTATTTAATTTATGCGCATTATTAATAAATTGTCTAGAAAAAAATTAATTTATAAAAATTGATACAATTAAAAATAAACTATTTTTACTCCATATCCTTTTAATAAATAAAAAAACAATAATATCAAGTATTTTGTGAATTCTTTTTTTTCTTTAAATTAATTTTTATCTCATTGATTAAAATAATTTGCATCTAATTGTTACTTTTAATATATTAAAAATGTAATTAAAGTCAATATTCTTCAAGTCTCGATTTTTTTCATTCATTAAGGGATAAAAGTTTATCAAAACTGAAGGGTGATTTAATAAAGTCAATAAGCTAAGCTCAAATTACGATTTTAAAACACTTTATTGATAAATTGAAATTAAAAATATAAAAGAAAAAAAAAGTAAATATCATTAAAAGGGTATGTAAATGAATATTTTTTAATAAAGACAAATAATTTATTGCCTGAGAAACGATTAAGAAGATCGAGATTAATCATATAAAGCTGAGCGAACAAAATGTATTCGACCATGAAAAATAGAAACTCAATGACAAATAAAAAAAGCTCGTAACAATGCAGAGAATAGTGAAAAAAAAAATAGGTGAGAAGACGATATATGGCCGAGTGAACTCGAGATTATTGTACAAGAAATTAGCATAGAACAGTGGTAGATATGGTCGATTGTCGCGTGAAACAGACACCCTGATGTTGGAACGTGGCGAAGCAGCGTGTCGAAATCGCGATCTCCAGGATGCATGCATCCAAACTTAGCACCCATATACTTTTGTCCATTACGTTTTCCCATTCCATTTACTTCGGCACCCTTTTCTTACTGCTGTACGCCTCGATTCGTGGACTGCCCTGTGTTTTACATTGTCTTACGTTTATTCGCTTTGCCTTCCCGTCGGTTTAAGTTCCAGGCGCACTCGATATACATACAATGCAATACAATGCAAGAAATGAAACTACTGGCGTGTCAGTGGAGCTTTTTTTTTATTTTACCCGTATTGTATATACTGATATCTGTTATAAAAAATTTTTCAAATGAAAATACTAAAATCGTTACCAATTTTTTTATTTTCATTCTAATTGCAGTGTGAGAGCTCCAGCAAGAAAAAAAAAGGAGGGTGGAAAATCTGAGAGGGAGAATCTTGAAAAAAGATGGTCTCTTAAGAAGTCTGAAGATAATGCGATGAGGATAAGTGCGGCACGTCGTCTAGGTTGCACTCGGATCAAGAAAAAGAAGAAGAGTAAAGAAGAAAGAGAAATAAGAAGGTTACAACAGAAGAGAAACTTACGGTGGATACTGAGGAGATGAAAGACGAAGGTACGGAGAACTCCTTACGAGAATATATTTTTTTTTTTTGCAATGTGAAGGTCCACAGGATGTCATCCAATGAGGGTGAAGTAAAGGGAAAACAAGTAAAATAATGATAAAAGGCGGAGTCGACGGTGAGATTCGATTGGTCGAGATATCGCGGGCGTTTGAGTCAACGCGAAAAGAAGAGAGGGGACTTCTCCTCCTCTTCCTCTTAAAACCTTTTCTATACGATCCTCTTACCTCTTTTACCTCTTTATTTACCTTTATTCTGCTCTCCAATGCTTTTTGGACCATGATCTTATTCTTATATACTCTAAATAAAATATTGAACAGTTTCCTTTCTCACTCTTTTTTTTTTTTCATTTCATTTGGGAAAATTTTTAATTGTCTCATACTAAATCACTAAAAAAATATATTTATTATATTTTACTATTCAAGTAATAAATTGAATTCAAATATAAAATAATTTTATCAAAGTTGTGAGTGAAATGAATATTTTTAAATCATTGATAAAGTCATCAATTATTGATGATTTATATTAAGTCACATTCGAAGCCAATAAAAATCTAGAATAAATAAATGACTTATTGTGGTAGGAACATTGTTGTGAGTGTAATCTGTTGATGTGAAATAAAATGAATTAATAAAAATGATTATTAATTTTTTATTTTTCCAACTTGTTTACAAGATAGAGAGTATACACGAACGCGTGTATCAAAGAAGAAATCACATCGGGATGCAATGTATACCACGATTGTTGATTATCTTTATGGAGAGGGTAGAATACTAACCTAAAGTATATTGACTTGTGATGTACCATCTGTGACGCACACCCTTCACTCCCTTACTATTGATAAAATTAATAAGCTCGTATATGCGGTTTTCCTGGATTGGGGATGGCTAATTCTTGGTTTACTTTCAGTCTCAATATTTGTTTGTCTCTTTTTCTCTATAGCTTTACCACTTTTCTTTATTAATTAACTATTCTATTAATAAAATACCTTTTACAATGTTTTTATTTACAAAAATATCTGTGCAGGAGATTTTATTTTAAAAAAAATAGCTTTCAAAGCAAATAAAGATTGCAATAAATGTGATGCAGTTTAATTATTTGCGCACATTTTATTTAGCTTTTATTAGATGCATTAAAATTTAATGATTAGTATTTTTGTAGTTGTAGTAAATAATCAAGACTCAAGAACTTCTAAAAAGTTTCGAGATTATGAATAAGTAGAATAAATATACTTTACAATTATTCTTAATAATTTTTTCGAAATTATTCTATTGTGTTATAAATTTTATTTTCATTGTTTCAGAAATTATTTCAAGAGTTTTTTGCAAATCAGCTGAGAAATGTATTTTAAACAATCGTAATGGAAGGAGAAAAATTAACTTGATAACAATAATTTCAATTGAAAAAATTGATCAAACAAAAAGAAGAAAATAATCAAGCACACATTAGGGAAAAAATAGTCTTGATAAGACTTTTCATGACACATAACAGGCTAGAGCCTGTAAAATTAATGTCACCGCGAATCAAGATGACAATGTGATTCATCAGTTAAATCCGCGTACATAATCCTTTACAGTGACTTACTCGGCCGGCAGCTAGTGTACGTCATTCGAAAGTGTACATATCTATATGTACATAGGAAAAGGACAACGTCGTATACATTTATACGTGTGTGAGTGTACACGAGTATTGTGTATAACAGGGCTGCAAATTATAATCAGAGTTGTGGTTAGTCAGTAAAGTTGGGAAGGGAATAGACGGTCTGTATAAGAGAGAAAGGGCGAGAAGGGTGTGAGGCTTTCTAGGGGTATTTATCCAACGACAGAGTCCAACCACGGGGTAGATGGAAATCTGTGGCATTTGAAAGCACTGGCCAAGAAAATTGGCTGACAACATTCGCACTGGGATTCTGAATTGCTTGGACGTCCTGGGTTATAGACACAACAAAATTCCCATTTTAGAATGCACTGAAGATTTTATTATATATTAGATTTAGTCTAGAATAAAATATTTGATTAATGTTAATTAAATAATGATTATTATCACATGTATAATTGAAAATACTTGTCAAAAGATACGATCAGAATGATACAGAAACATTCTGATAGAGTTTTTGGATAATATTTTTAAAATATCATTCTAGAATAATAGAGAAAGATAATCAAAAACACGATGAAAAATACTCTGCTCTAAAAAAAAAATAAATACTTTATTTATATGCTAATTAATTGTTCAAATTGTTGATAAAATGAAGGTTTGACTATCAAAAATATCAAATAACATTATTTACATAATTAAAATAATATTTTATCTTTATGTTACAGAATAAATTATCCTTATATAATTTCTAGACCACAAAAAAAATTTTTTTTATAAGAAAAAAAAAAATTAATCAAGCAAATTGTATTTTCCATACGACTGCATTAATCAAGATCGCATATAAATATTTTTCGACAATAAATATCTATTGTACTGAATAAACCCAGAATCTAATTAACACTGAGTTACTTCAGCATTCATTTAATTGCATCATTCAATCGTGAGAAATTGTAACAGAAAAATTTCGCCTGTTCCATACACATGCATCCTTTTATTTCCCCATTATCTAAAACTACTCTGAAGACCTTCAAACGTAAAAATTTAATGACGCTTTTACTTTCAATTTCACGAATGATTGCAATAATTTACTCTTTTTTATGATTAAAGAAACAAGAAAAAAGAATTTTTTATTTTTTTCTAAAAATAAAATGAGAACAAGTATTCTCTCAACGACTAGTTTATGTAAAAACTAATAATGAATATATAATGTATAAAATTAAATGAATTTAAGTGCTACAAAATATTTGTAATTACCTTCACATAATTTAATAAACTAAAATAAACAGTGTATTTAAAAAAAGAACAATTACAATAAAATAACAATTAATTCTGGAATATTTATATTCTCTCAAGTATAATAATAACCTTAACATTCATCCATAGTAATGTTATTTAAATTTATAATTAATAACTCTTTTTACCTAGGTAATATACATAAATCCCACAATACATGTTAATGATTATTAAGCCCCAATAACAAGGCTTAAAAGTGCGTAAAATTAACCATCTAAATGTCAATTATCATTTTAAAAATCAATACATAATAAATCTTGTTGAAACTCTCACTTCCATTATAAATTAACAATATCAATGACACAAAAAAAATATATATAAACAGTTCTAATGATTATTGATTAAACATGAACATCAAGAAAATGGAAAATTGTAATCCATCTAAAAATGTCCAAAGATGATTACAATAATTCAAATGATCGAATGTATACATCAGATGCATGTTGATAAATGGTTTCAATGCAATCAGCTTTACAGAATCTGGTAAACAAACGATGCTTTAGGGTAAACGGTACGTTTAATTCTCTTCTGTGTTAGAACAGTGCAAGGGAATAAGCTTTGGAAATACGAATTTAGCCCTAATATCGTATAGAATTCAACCCTCAATTTCCACTTACTCATTCCGGGTGACGAGAGTTCCACTATCTTCCTGTGGTTGAATGCCTACAAGATTTGTCTACTTCAGTGGACTGCACTTAGTATTAGGGGAGTTACCGCTGGACATATGGGAACACCATGTGGCTACTGTGAAACCGCGCTAGGAAGTCTCTTGGACGCGTTACTCTCACTCTGACTTACTACCAGTATTTAGTAAAGGGCAGTCACCAACGCGATTTACCCATCTAGGGGCTAAATGCTTACCGCAATTTGTAGCAATTTGTTAAGTAGCCAACCAGAACATTATCTATATTACAGTTGTGCTTCTCTCTCGCGAGATATACGGGATGTCGACAGATTTATGGTCACCAGGGTTACGTGAAGCCAACAGTAAATTAAATAACCACACAGTTATAAATTATTTTTCTTGTACACTTGTATTACGTAAATCTCAGTATAATAATATTACTTGAAAAAAAAAATAAAATACATTTTGTTATTTTTATGACATTCATTTTGGTCTATGATGTAGAATAATTAATTATTTTCACGAGACACTGGTTGTTTCATTGAGATATAAATGATTGGAGAAAGGAAAATGAATCAAAAGATGATGCTCCTCAGAGTGATATTCTTACCAAGAATCAAGCTAAGACGATTTTTGGTACTTTCGTAAATGCTTTTAGTCGATGAGTTGCTCATCTATCCCTCTAATGCTACAAGACCGTTTGCGTTTCGTTATATAATGTACTCCCTTATGTTCTATATAGTCTTTCTGTTCGTCCTACTCTGATCTTCATGGCCCGACCCGAGAATTCTCATCCATATGTAACAGGCGTCGGGTATTAATGACAAGGGCTGGAAGGTAGAATTCGCAAACTGTGAGAATTGTACCAGAGAAAAACGATAGAAATTGAGAAAAAAGTAAATACAAAAATATTAAGATAACTCTTTTAGTTTGTATTATGTCATTCTTATAATATTCCAATAAAATTGTTACATCATTGGTGACAATTTATGTTTTTACCAATGAATTCTTGAAATAACATAATACTATTAGACATAATAAAATAATTACTGAATTAAATGAAATAAATAAGTAATCATAATTAAAATAATTGTTTTAATATAAATAAATATAACAATCTGTGTATTTATTGCATCTGTTTAGGTTTAGTTAACTGTGATTCACCCCTCTCTTATTGATAAGGCTGTGTCACTGATACTACATGACATAGCTGGAATAGATTTACGAGGCAAGATCATTCAAGATACCTAGAGATGGCATAACGAAAATGAGAATAAAAAGAACATTAGAAAAACAAGTTAAACAAACGTAGGGAGGCTCCAGCATCCTTAAATCTTTGCCAATTGAGATTAAGTTGCTTCAAAATAATGCATAAAAATGGTAATCTGATGGAACATGAATCTCATCAAATCAATTAGAACGAGGCTAATTTTATTATCAACATATATCTACAATCTTATACATTTTATTGATGTCTATGGAATCATTAAAATTATCAAAATCATTTAAATATATATATAAATATTAATTAATAAGATAAGATTGAATCAACCAGCCAATCTGGTTTAAATGATTCAGACATAAGTTGATTGAAATAAAATTCTAGGCAACGTTTTGATGAGATTTATCACCATCATCAAGTTCCAAACAAAATTTCATAACACTTCAATTCAATTCAGCTCTAAATTTACAATTTATAATCATTTAACTAGACCCTCTAGTCATTAATTATCATCACATTAATATTAATTCTGAAATTATGGAGTCTTTGAATTTTTAAACCAGAAAGATATGTATTCATTAACTCAACAGATCATAATTAACTCATCAAAAATGTTCAATCACCTTTTTTTACTCCAAAAATAACTAGAATGCAAACTTTATCATTTTTATGACTGATATCTGCTTATCTAAGTGTTATTCTACTTCAGACATGGACGAAGGTGGATTTGAGAAGCTATCAAGAGCTGTTGAGTTTTCTGAAGTAACTTTTTTATGATAGCTCCACCAACATCATCATCTTGGAGTATACTCTGCTCCAAAACACTATGGAAGTACAAAAAAGCAACTAATCATCACACATCATAGATTTTCTAAGGATTATTTCTTCATACATCCTATCAAAAGTATTGTTCCCACATGCTGATATTGTATTCACGAGTTCATGTAGCGTGAAAGTGATGTACACGAATGTAATCTGAGTTAGAGGCTTGAATGTCGCACGAGAAACCATGCATCTCGATCACAAACTACTGGGGTACGTCTCATATTATGTAGATAAAGATATTAAAACAAGAACCAATGTTGAACTGGCGTAGAAAAAAATTGCCAGTTTCCGGTCGATGATTAATTTTCGTGGAAAGGCATGTCTGCACTTTATGGGTCTACGCTTCTTTCCTCTCTTTCATTCTCTCACTCTTCCTTCATATTGGATATATATTCTCATCTCCGAAAGTGGAGTAACGACATTTCGCGAATGCAGTGGTATAAACTTGATTGATGCCTAATGTTTATTTCATGATATTTTGTCATTGAATCTTTTTTATTTGTTCAACAATAGACTCTTAACACTATTAGTTTTTATCAATTAACCCACAGCATTATAACTTTCTTTAATTATATTTTTTTAATTACAATTGGATTTTTATGTAAATAATGTTGGATCATTTTTCATCAAGTAATGATCCAATACTCCAAGATGCTGATGATGATTAGCCAACTAGGTGATCAAGTTTAATTAGAAGCTTTATAAATATTTTCAGATCAACAGCTATTTAGCGTGATCATGATTATTTTGTAGTAAGATGTAGTTAATTATTTATTAAAGTATTTAATAAGAAATGTTGAAAGATTCTAGAGAGTAACATTTCAACATCTTTTAAAAGAAATGTCGAAAAGACCGGAACTGATCACGACAA